GAAGATGATGAAGAACCCCCAATCATACCCGAACAACCACAACCTCAAGCATTCCACTACACACCTTTCGAGCAACAAATGCTCGATAACATGGTCATGCTCAACCAGAGCATTGAGAGGATGGAGGATCAACGGCAAGCAGACTGGCGTAGGTATGAGGAGGACAGGCGGAGATCTGAGGAGGATCAGCGTAGGACCTATGGCACTTTATATTCCTATGTGGCACATCAGAGTGGATTTGCATCTATGGCAAATCCCCCTCCCGCACCCTCTTGGTACGATCCGACTACATGGGGGTATTTTGGAGACTCGAGTTTCGGTGGTGGAGGCAATGATGGTGGTTATGGCGGGGACCACATGGATGAAGACAGACACCACGGTGGAGGTATGGGCGGGCACTAGGGACAGTGCCAGGTACTAAGTGTGGGGGTGTTAAGATTATTCTGGTAAGCTCACAATCCTACTCTTTTCATTTTTATCTTCAAAAAAAAACAGCTTGTTAAGTTGAAAACCCACAAAGGGCAGCTTAAGCAAAAATAAAGCAAACAAAAAATAAATAAATAAGAGTGAGTTGTGAGATTCATTAAAGGAAAATGTGGGAAGCTGGGTTGAAAACCTGAAAGGGCACCTAAGGCAAAATGAGAGAATGAGAGAAAGTTATTTCTTTTGATTTTACAGGATCCTGAGGGTGATTACTATAGAGAGTTCGTCGGATGAGGAAATTGAAATTGAAGACCCATCTTTACTCTTTTTGTTTTGGAGATACTTTATGTATTTGTTATAAACACTTGTGGATGTTGGTGCTGCTACTCTTGTCAATTAAGGACTTCTTGGACAGAATTTGTTTTACTCGAGACGAGTAAAAAATTCAAGTGTGGGGGTGTTTGATATGCACTAGTTTATAGTGCATAAATGTATGTTTTTATGTTGATTGGGTGTGGATTTTCCATCGCTTTTAGTTAGTTTGTAAGTACTTGTTTTATTTTGTTTGTAATTGTTTTCTCCTTCTTTTCGTAGTTATAGAATAGTGATAGAGTTTGTAGCAAGAAAAAGGGGAGAAAAGCTGAAGACAAAAATACCCAGGAGCACAAAAACCCGACCGGGTCAGACCTTGAACCCGGTCGGGTCAGTTGAAGACTGGATCTAAGAAGAAAAAGTAAGACCCGGTCGGGTCCCTTACTCGACCCAGTCGGGTCAGATATGACCCGGAACACCAGAACATGCTTAAGATCACAAAGATTTGGAAAAATCTGATTTAGACCAAACCCGGTCGGGTCCCTTACTTGACCCGGTCGGGTCTGACTTGACCCGGGACAATTTAACGTGCTGGAACACAAAAAAGTTGAATATTATCTGATTTTGACCGGTACCCGGTCGGGTATGTACCTATACCCGGTCGGGTACCCGGCCAAAGGTGTTGAAAAACACCTATAAATAGCACACTTTTTCTTCACAAAAGATCATCCCTTCTTCCATACTCTTTAGCTCAGTTTAGAATAGCATTTCTTTATATTTTTCTAGCTATGTTTAGCCTCCAAATGAGGAGCTAAACTTCCATTTTTGGTGTTGCTCTTGAAGCTTGTTGATTATTAAAGTTGTGAGTTATTTTCTTAAACTTCTTTCCTTGAATATTAATTAATAGTTCTTTCCTTAATACCATCTCTATATTAATGTTGGGGAGTGTTGCTAAGATGACAATTAGTTAACATCTCGACATTAGTTAGAATGGTATTTTCTTCCTCTATATTAATGTTGGGGAGTGTTGCTAAGATGACAATTAGTTAACATCTTGATATTAATTATAGTAGGATTCATCTTCTTTAATAATATTCTTCCTTGAATATTAATTTATTCCTATTCTTATTTCATATTAATATTTTGAACATTACTTAAAGGATCAACTAGTTTTGTTTCATATATTAATTATTACTAGAAACGATCAATGAACCGATTGTAATCGTTGATGGTTTCACAAGTAAGTAACTTCGGTTTATTAATGCACGGTCGTGGTTAATAAACTTAAGAGGGATTAATTTTGTTTGTTAAACCGAAACCGCTTGTGTTGAGGTTATCAATCTCAATTGATTTCATCAAGGAGTTAGAAAGATTAAATGCTACTATTAAATCGGTATAAGGCGTTGTTCTATATTTGATTAATAGTAAGGATTATTAATGAACGGTCGTTGTTAATAACTACCCTCGATGAAGTGGATATACTCCCCGATTGAGTATTCGAGAGGGAATAAGTTATAGATATAACAATGATCGACTAAAATATATCAACAAGTGGAAAGTAGCAATGCCAAGTCCTTTTTATCTTTGAATTAAACACATATAGGTTGTTCATCTTAGTTCTTAATTAAATCAAATCACTCAATCTAAATCCCCCCTTTTTATTTACTAAGTATCATAAAAAGAGAATTATTCCTTTCCCTGTGGATACGAACTCTACTACGCTATACTACGTATAAGTGTTTAGTATTGAATTTATTTTGACGCACCGTGACAAAGTGCTCGTCAGGTCCCTACATCGTCAGTGTCGTGGTGAAACCCGGCACCTACAAGCTAAAAGCCCAAACGGGACCAATGTACCACGAACGTGGAATGTACACCATTTGGTGAAGTTTTATCAAAAATCCGAAGGAGGTGCAGCCGGCGAAGCGCTCACCCTTTGACGGATTATTGATTGAACACCACCCTCGGCCTTGAGCCACTTTTGAATAAAAATCATGTTTCCTTTGATTTCTTGGAATTCGAGTAGCACATTAACAGATGCCCTCATCAGCCACCTTAGAGCGAAAGGCTCAGGCATGGCCGATGTGGCACTTCGCATCTGCAGCCTTAGAGCGAAAAGCTCAGGTATGCCCCATTGTATTTTGTATCAGCGAAAGGTTTAGGCCCAGCTGAAAGAGCACGTCGTACCGGCCCCTCAGAGCAAATCACTCAGACAGGGCCGACGATGTCCCCAGGACGATGGGCCCACAAACGGCCCGCGTCTTGAAACGGGAAGTTCACCACATCGCCCACGCACCTGATCGCAGGACGACAGGCCTGAAATCATGGCTGAGGTGAAAAAATCCCCAAACTCAGGGTTGGGCAACGGCAGCCGTTGGAAACCAACCAAAAGTCTAGCCCGCGTTATAAATAGGCGACGGGACCCCCCTGAGATCATGGACGTTATAAACGAAGTCCAAACCGGCCGGAGGACTATCGACCCCTGCGGCTGAAGCCTGAAAGAAGGACACTCCCCGAAATAGGGAACAAAAAAAAAGAGGGAAGCCGAGGACTGCGCGCACTTGCCGGCCTCGAGCAGTAAAAATAAATCCCCACAAATCAGCCACACATTTGGCTAAGTACATATCAGTTGAATACAAAGGTAGCACTACCAACAGGTAACGCGGACGAAGCAGCCACCCACTACGAGGAGAGTGTCAAGGACGGGGCATGCGCCCATAAAATCCTAACCAAAGTGGTTGGGTGAAACAAGGGTGGTAACCTTCATCGGCCATGACCACTTGAAGCGCCAACACTTAGCATGAAAAAACAAAGAATCATAGCTTGACACTTAAACACAATCCTGAAGTTTAACACACGGGTTGCAACCCCTACCGGCCACAACATTCTTGCTGGCCGTTAAAGGCGCTAAAACCTAGGCGGTGGCTTAAGCTGAAAATCTTCGAAGGAAGTTGACCAAGTGATCTCCAAACACTTAGAAAATTTCTGAAGAAAGTTGCCTAAGTGAACTTCAAACACTTAGAGAATTTTTGAGGGAGGAAAACGCGAAGGGAATGGCAAACACCCGGGCACCCTCATCGGCCACACCGCCTAACTTGGCCGACAACGGTACTACGCAGAAGAAAACTACATGGCCTAACACTTGGGAAATCTCCAAATTATTCAATAACAAAGGGACAGTCCCAAGACGAAGCGGGCATTCAAGCATTTATAGGTGCCCACCTCGGCCCCGCCAACGGCCGATAGTTATCCATGTTCTGGTTTGACACAGATAATTTCAAAATTGGAATAACTAAGGCACGAGACAAAAGAATTTAAAGCCGAAGGGGACAAGCACTCCATGCAATCCAAAGGTCAAAACCCATAGGGGAGCGCTTCGGCCATCACACTCAGACGGTAAAAGTCAGGTGCCCTTATTGGCCACGATTACAGAAATCCGCCGCGACCTCCTTTTGAGATAGGGGGAAGGGAACAAAGGGGCCGCAAAAGAACACCGGGCCGACGAGAGCACCACGTGTGGCATTTGGTTCAACACTTAGGAAATTTTCCAAAGTATCAGGCAAAAGTGGAAGGGGGCGTAACACCAAGACGACGCGAACACCCACCCACTTGAAGCCCTAATACTTAGAGAATTTTTTAAGTCCCAATTCCAAAAACACTTACACAAATTTCAGAAAAAATGGGAACAAAAGTAAAGGGGGAACAAGACGACGACAAGACAAAAGAAGGGTCGGAAACATGTTTCATTGATAAATTCATTACATAGAGGGCACTTCGGCCATTACAGTCAGACGATGAAACAGAAATGACAAATTACAAGTTATAGACAGTTATGGACGATCAGGCCTCCACAGCGGCCTCGTCAGCAGCGTGACCCGCAACGTCCTGCTCAGCAACGAGCTCGGCACCATCCTCGGTCTCAGCATCCAAGCCGGCCTCTACGACGGAATTGGCGGTGTCGTCCAAGAAATCATCTTCGTCGTAGTCCGGTTCCCTGAGGCCGGAACTCTCTATGGGAGCCTGCCTATCACACAGAGGAAGGTTGATCTGCTCCTCCGGATCCTTCATTAGCCTGGGAAGCCGCAGGTTCCGCCTGGCCCAACTTCGAGTATAGTTCAGGGTTCTGAGAGCGCGACTCAGCCGCCGATAAATGAGCCTCTGCATCTGATGCTGGCCCATGTTGTAATACACGGACATTTCACGTTCGAAATATTCCTGGCCGGCAGGGGAGTTTTGCCCCCAATCTTCGAGCTTGGCCGCTACGACCTCGTAGCACCAGGGCAGGCGCTCGTCGGCCTTCCAGCTTTCGGCCAGGAACTTCTCCACGGCATCATCAGCGTCCTTCACTGCCGCAGCTTCAGCTTCGGCCTTGGCCCTCTCGGCCTCATCGGCCCGCCGACGATCAGCCTCGCGGGCACCCTTCTCCTCGGCCAGTTTTGCCAGGGCCTCTTCCTTGGCCGCATCGGCCTCATCAGCCCTCTTCTGCAAGGCTGCAAAATCTTCCCGCAGCCTTCCTAAGCATCTCATGGCCTCATCGGCCGAGGCTGCCTTCTCCTCGAACTCCTTCAAGTGGGCAATCTCCCGTTGCTGCCTCTTGTTGCTCCCCATGAGCATGAAGGCACCCTGCAACGGAAAAGGCTATCAGGAAAATGTGCAAAAATGTCAAAGGAAAACAATAAGGCTAAGGATGAAAGGAATTACCTGGACGACAAGGTCCATCCCACCGTCGTATATCTTGACATCCCCTAGTTTGTCAGGATACACCCGGTCCTTGGCCGGGATGGCCTGAGAGAGCACGTTGTGACCGTCAACGCCATCATTGAAAACCCCCCGTCCTTGGGGTATTCAACCTCCAGCTTATAAGTGACCGTAGCCACCTCCTTGCCGGACCGCTTCGGCCGGGAGTCCTCAGCAAGGGAAAGGGGTTGAGAACCATCTCTGGAGAGACCAGAGGTAAGGTCCACGAGGGCAGCAGCAGCGGTGGACCCTCCTTCGTCCGCAATCGGGACGGCTAGTACGTCGGCCTCATCGGCAGTGGCAGAGGATGAAGCCTTCTTCGACTTCTTGGCGGGCTGCATACCGGCTTCAGTCAGCTTCCTCTGGGATTCCTCCGCCGGCCGTTTTTTCTTCGGTGGGGGAGGTGTCCTCTTCGTCGCATCACCACCAGCAGCGGCCTTCGCCGCAGCCTCCTTGACGGCCAACTCCGCCTTAGCCCTCGCAGCGGCCTTGTTCATCACGGATCGTCGATCCATTACGAAGTCTGCACAACAAAGAAACAAGTCAGCAAAATAAAAAGACAAAGTAAAATGAGGATGTCGTAGGAGGTATTACCATCAACTTCGGCAGGAACGCCTAGATCGGGGCCGTCGGCCTCCTCGAAGGTTGTGGCCATCTTTGGCCACAGTTGGAGGTCATCTTCCTTGTCTCCATACACGAAGTATCTAAAGAAGCCGATAGCGGTCATCTTGTACTCCGTGATGTAATCCTTCACACTCCTCGGCCCCCCTCTAAGAACGTTGCCACCTGAGCATCTAGGATTGAACTCTTGGGCGGGTCATGAAGAGTAAACCTTCCATCATGGCCGACGGAGGGGAACTCAGTGCCACCCTCGCCCAGGGACACGAAGACAAACTTGCTCTTCCAACCGTGTATGGATGAAGGCAAGTTCGTGAAGGTCCTCTTCTTCGGCGGTTGCTGCAGAGTGGCGTAACAGGCGCAATTCTTGTGGCTCCCTCGGCCAATCTGATAGAGGTTCATGAAGAGGGCCGTTGTCGGCCTGTAACCTAACTCCGCACAACGGAGAAGGAACCCCACCATCAGCGAGTAGCTATTAGGGGTCAGCAAGGCCGGAGGGAGCCCCACCATGTCCAGATACTCCTGGATGAAGGGATGCAGGGGAAACCTCAGCCCCTTGGCGAAGCTCATCGGATACACTCCAAAGTATCCCGGTGGCAGATTAAGCACGTGGTCCGTCGGCCTACACTCCAAACGGCCCCACATACATCTGTGCGACCAAATAGTCAGCGGCACTGCTCTTCGGCTTGATAAGGAAAATGTTGGTAAGGTCCAGGTAAGAGAAACCTGGCCCCATCTTCGGCCGCCTGTTCCTCTTCGGCCGCGGTAGCCCCTTGACAGCAGACACCGGCTTCGGGCACAGGATGGTAGTAGAGGCGGACGCCCCGTCCACTACGCGGGAAACCCCTGCGTCCTCACCCTCGGATGACAAAGCGGACCCTTCGTCCTCGTCCTCCTCATCCACATTATCTCTGGATTTATACGGGCTCAGGTGTTCGATCTCTTCGGCACACTCCTCGACCACATCGTAGTCAAGAGACTTGGCGGAAGGCTCGTCGTCGTACGGGTAATATTCCTCATTTAAGGATTTCATCTTAACAACTCCTAAGGCACTAAGGGGAGCTACCTTTAGATCTAAAGTGTTTTTGTGACTAACACCGGATCAAAACCTAGAGAGAGCAAAATATGTAAGAAGTAGAAGAACGGATTAAGGAACTAACCTTGAAGTTTTGAAGAAGGTGAAGAACATTCAGCAAAGGCTCTCTCTCTAAAAAAATTTGGGCAGCACTTCGTTACTCAGAATGCAAATGAGGACTGTCCTCGGAACGGGGAGGGTAATTATAGCCCCCTTCTAACGGTAACTACACGTGGCATCACCTTAGTGGCCACACCAACGGCCACCAATGGGATGCCACCATTCTGTCTATGGGCCAAACCCCCTCCACAAACCAACGACCCACCAGCGAAGCAGGCCCTACGGATCAAGGAAGGAAAAACAGCACCCACAACGGCCAACACAGCCAACGGCCATCCACGTTACAACCGTATCGGCCATCTAAGCGGCCACACATATTATGCAAAGGAAGGCCTTATAACGGCCACAATACCCCAAAGGAAAGGAACCCAACGGCCATGAGGCCCTCGCACTAAACCCTTGATGATAACTCTTTGAAAGCGACCTACGCCCAAGGGTTTTCCCACAGGGTTACCTTGGTCAGGAAATCGCCAAAGGGTTGGATCCAATGGCAGTATGAGGATCCCACAGGGTTTTCCTATAAATACTTCCTCTGGAGGTAGTTATAGGGGTTACAAAACCATTATATTGAAGCATTTACTTGCACTTCTCTCTCTAGCTCTCACTTCTCTCTAGATATATACTTTATCACTATTACTAAGTAGATTTGTAATAGTATCAGACATAGAGCAGTCTTCCATCAATTTTCCATAGAAAACTCAATGCATTTTCTTAGTTTTTCTTGGTTTTTCTTCTTTCTTAAATGCTTAGTGAAATGGGATACATGACAGATAAACCCTCCAACTCTCCAAGTTGTATGCTAGGATTTACATCTATCTATCTCAGTAAATGTTAAAAACTCCAATTAAGAAAGTGAACTACGGAAAAATAGAAAACAAGGTTTATTTGGGTAAGTCAGTGTTACAAAACAATCAAATACAACAACTGAAATATGTCATTCCAATATTATTCAATTAAAGATTTATGACAAGAAAAACAAAACATTAAGAAGATGAAAACTAGGGGAAAAGGCAGATTTATTCTATCTTGATATGGCTTCCATAATCTCCTCTTTAAGTTTCATTCTTCTATTAACGCTTGATGTTTTTTATATTTAGTAGCGTCTAACGCTCTCTTTCTAGCTCTTTTCTTTATATGAAATACAAATTCTTTTCCTTAACAGTCCTTCCTAAAATATTGGTACAAGTTTTTGTCTTCCTTTGTACTCTCTCCGGATATGAAAGATCTTTACACTTTTCATTTTTGGCAGTACCACAATTATCTTTACACTTCTTATTTACCTTACAAATCTACATCAAACAGTGCCAAACAGTGCCAAACAGTGCCAGATAGTGTCAAACAGTGTCAAACTTCTTAATATTTGTGAAGTCAAAGTGTAAAGATCTTTCGGAACCGGAGGGAGTATCTTTTATGTATATAAAATTATGAAATTTTAGTTTCCGGTCATTTAGAGGTACCTCTCCTTTTTCAATTCTTATGACTTCAATTAGTGTTTTACAACAGATCTGGGCAATCTCATCCATATCATTTTTCTTACCCTATTATTTTCATTATATGTGCAGTTTTTCCTAAGATATCTGGGTATCTCAAATCCTTGATGCATAGTACCATCTGGCCACTTTCAAAGAATTGACTGTAAACTTTATGGGTTATGAGAATTGTTTAAGTTGAATAGGTGAGTATGATTTTTATATGTGTTTATTCTATGAGCATCACCATGACAACGAATGGATATTATTTCTTCTTCACTACAACTAGATAGTCGTAGTTTGATAGTAATAGTGCTAATATCACCTTATCCTTGAATCTATTTTTGTAACAAACAGTGGGATAATCTCATCTTTAATTTCTGCCTCAGAATTTATTAACTCTCTTTTTTTGCGGGTTTTTTCACCCCTTCATGAGATGAAGGGGTGAAAAAAGACTTTTTCACATTCTCCATGCACAAGTACGTATTTTAGTTTTTTAATCAGTTTGTAAATGTTTGAAATTTTACCAATAAAGATCTCATTATATAAATTTCGATTACTTTTAAGTTGCATTTGGTTGATTTTATCGTTGCGCAAGGAGGTTACAAGTTCGAATCTCATCTCAGTTCAAGCATGTTGACTTTAAAATGAAACAAACACTATACTAGGTTAGGAAGCTTTGCAAAAAAAACATTTATGAAATCAGACCTGATCACATAAGTTCAGACCAGACAGTCCAAGTAAAAACATCCTAATTTTTTGTTCTAAAAACGGGTCAAAAGTATAACAACCAAAAGTTTGGGTCACATTTGAAATAAATAAAAAATTTAAAAAAAAAGATGGCGTAGGGGATGGTGTGCGCCATATATGGCGTAAACCCAAACTCCCTCCCCCATTTTGGTGAGATGGTGTGAAGAATGGTTTAGCTATTGGAGCAAGTTTTGGAAAATACACCATTTTGGTGTGTGATTTTGTGGTCTCTTGGAGAAGCTCTAAGCTTGAAAGTTTTTTTTTTAAATAGAGTAAGATGCGTGCAAAAGCTTCTAATCTCACGTTGTTCTGTTTTGTTATCCTTTTACTCGGAATCTTCGGTACTTATATATTCACAATGTTATTTTAAGATATAAGCCACTTTTTTTAATATGTTTCAGTTCCCTTATATAGTAAAGGGTTATACATTTTTAGGTACACTTGGAATAAAGTAATATTTCTGAGCTCATTAATAATGACTCATTATAAGTAAATTGGTCTGTATCTAAACAAAAGAAGTGTATATTTTGACTTTTTTCACAAGGACTTCTTTCATTTATTAGGAGGTTTTAATGTAGTCAAATATTGTAGTTAGAGAATATTTCCAAAGTGGAATTAAAACATACTAGTAATAATTTCTTTAAGAGTAATGACCCTCTCAGACCGGCATGACAGGACCTCTTGTCTGTCCCGACTCCCGAGAAAGTATGTCACACATGTGTGATTTGTCTCAAAGATTTGAATGCAAAAGAAAGCATGAGGAAATGAAAGCAAATCAGGAGAGTCGGCACTAAAAACACATTGGAAAGGAGTTGAGATTACAAATGTAATAAAATGAGAAGATAAAATCCATGAAACAAGCGAATTCCAAAACAGGTGATCGTCAACGTATTGAATTCCTACTACTTCCTTCCCGAAAAACTTTGATATCTTTACAACTTTGACCAACTATATATTTTATCGGAAGTTACTTATAATATAAAATTGATATAAAAGTGTTCTTTTTTAAAGTACTTTCATTAAAGTATAAATTTATAAGTTCTATATTATTATACTAACCAAAATAATGGTCCATTTAGTCTATATGTAATTCCTTTTGTGAATATTTTATAACCTCAAATGGAATATTTTTCTTTTGTGGTCAACTATTTTGTTTGTGTGTACTTTGTCACATATTATAGTATATATGTTCGGTTAAATGTGGGCATCCTTTTAATGGGATGAGTTTCAAACCCGTGACTTCTCTATGAGAATGTCACTATGATGTCATCGAACCACAAATTGTTTGGCGAAATCGACATACCATTTTATGAGTAATTATTTCTATTTATTTTCTTTTTAGTTTATCAAATCGTTCCTCAAAGTAGGTTCTTCAACTTTTTGAATCTCTTTTAATTACCATTTGAGAAAGATCGTAATTTAACCATGATTCTTAATTTATTGTTTAGTTCTTACTAAAACTTCACATTTACTAATAGTAATATAGTAATATTCAGTGTGATCATGCCATATTTTTTGTTTTAAACATTGAAAGACTTTGTCTTATACGTAAAAAAACTAATTTATAATCAATTATCATCTACATACAAAACAGTTACAACCAGTGCGAATACACAGGTACAGAACTAGTATAAAATCAAAAAAAAAATTATTTGAATTATTTTCGATCCGGGCACGTAGTATTAACTATTAAGGACATCCTGACCTTCCAAATTAACTGGCCCGATGGGGCTGGGGTCAAGGCCACACGAAATTTTCAGAACCGGACGACAAATCATAAAACCCCCAAACATCATCGTTATTAACCACCGCCGCCGCCGCCAGACACGTGGACCCTCCAATTCCCGTCCAATAGTCAACGCCACTTCCGACAAATGTCCCCAAATCATCTTGAGCTTGCTGCGGCTGCATCATCATCATGATAGGCGGCTGCCACTCCATATCCGGCGTCTCTTCTGGCGTAGTTGACCATTGACCACCGTCCTCGCCGAGCAATAGAGCCTGCAACTCGTCGTGAAGCTCATTCTGGTCACACCCATCCACTCCAAAAACGCGTTCTTGGCCGCCGTTGATAAAAGCTTCTTGATTAAGGCTTCCTTCTCCCTGCTCCATAAACATGGGAGCAGGAAGAAAAGCTCGTTGACCACTTCCAGAATGGTCAGCGCGAGTTGACTCGCCGGGGAAGTGAAGGGCATCGGACGGTGACGTCGCGATTGGAGAACGATAAGGCGGTCGCTCGACTTCCAGCCGAGAGGCGGGTCTAGACGAGGGACGGCCCTTCCGGCAGCCACCGCCGACGGGGACGTTGCGGAGGGAGCCGCCCTTGGTCCAATACCTCCGGCAGCCTTTGCAGAAGTACCTGGGCTGTGAGAGGCTGTAGTTGTTGTAGTAACAAAACTTTGTATGGGTAGAGGCACACCTGGGGCAATTGGGAGCGATTTCAATGTTGCTTTTCCAAATCCTGTCCATAATTGTTATAAGAATTATAACATCAGAAACAATAATAATTCTCCCTAATAGTTTTATTCTTTTGAATGATTTGGCACTCAGCTCCGCTATTAAAATTCTCTCAAGCACTTCACACTATTCAATTCTTTGATACCATCCATGATCCATCATGACTAATGGGAGAATGGACCAGCTACACCATGTGTGTATATATATACACAAATGTTGATGTAAGGAATTTCGAATGTCACCTAGATTTTTTGATGAATTTTTGTGATAATATTTTCTTTGAGGTGTAGATCATGTACACCAATTCAAATTTATGTTGAAAACAAATTGGGTAGTTAGTTTTTTTTAATGGGAAGAAGTTAGTTAAATAAATCATTGAAAAACATAACATTTTAATACTTCGTATATATTTTGGTGCAACGTTTTTCAATAGTTGTATAACTATTAACTTATCGATTGAATTTTAAGCTGAAATTTGATGACATAACTTACACTTCATAAAGAACATGTTCATCAAATTTATTAAAAACTTTCACGCAGATGCACCACAAATGGAGGTGTCTAGATGGCGTTCTGGTCAAAACACCCATATATATATATATATATATATATATATATATATATATATATATAATTAGGTTCAATTGAGAAAATGATCTTAGGAGAGAAATGAGAATGAATCTGAACCGTTAGATTGTATTCTGTGAAATTGAATGTGCATTAAGTGAAACTGAAATGTGCATTAGGTGAAAACAAAATATGCAGCACAAAATGTAAGGCATAGTGGTATTATGTGAAGTTGAATTGTGCATTATGAAAAACTAAAATTTGCACTACGTGAAACTGAAACGTGCAGAATAAAAACTAGGATGCAGTGCAGTTGCATTTTTGTGTCTTTTATTCTGCACATTTCAATTTCATGTAATGCACATTTGAGTTTTATTTTTCATTCTGCACATTTCAATTTCACGTAATGCACATTTCAGTTTTACCAAATGCACAATTCAATTTCACATAATACAATCCAACGGTCTAAATTCATTCTCATTTCTCTCCTGAGAGTCCTTTCTCACCGGAACCACTCCCTATATACGGAAGTATATGTTTGTGTGTGTGTGAGAGATTTGAATTAAAAAGAGAAATGACAATTGTTCTCATACTTTATATCTGATAAATGTGCATCGAAATAAACAATTTAATAATGTGATTATGTATTCATAAATAAACTTAATACTTATGTAATCATGAACTCTGATCTGCATTAGTAAAATACTTATTAATAATGAGATAAATGAAAATAAATCAAATGCTTTAGATATGAAAATTATGCATTCTCTAATCGGATGTTTTTTGTAGACACCGTTTTACACTGCCAGGCGAATTGTGTTTGCACAAACAACTTTTTCTTTTTGTGAAGATAATTGTTTTTCACACTGACAGTTTTTTTCCTATGCCACAAAAGAGTGTCGGTGTAAAAACAATTCGCTTCACAAAACAAAAAAATATTATTTGTGCATGGACAATTTGGCTGGCGTGTAAAATAACATCTACAAAAATCTTGTACGCGAAGCATGATTGTTGATTAGTAGCGTATAAATGTACAATTATTGCAATATACGGTGCCTTCGCCATTGTAACTGTATACTGGTATCTGAGTATAAAACAAAATGGTACATAATAAAATACTCCGTATTACATTCTGTTGGAGAAGGAGGGTGATGAACGGTCCGGTCGTAATCTTATATCATCATATGGTCCACATTATGTGAAACGGAACAAATTAAAGATGGTGGGATTATAGGCAGTTCATGAGGGGTCAGTGTACCACCTCCGTAACACAAAGATTTTCTCATTTTAACTTTTCATGGTCATCTAAATTGAAATTTGACTCTAAATATCTACATATCTATATTTATAAAATTCATAATAAATTAACATTCAAATAATATGTTTTACGATGAGGTATATGAAATAAATTTTTAATCATAACATAGTGTGAGTTTTGAATAATCAATGGTCAAAGTTTATAAAGTTTGACCTAAAAGACTCAAATTGGGAAGATTCTAGAGTTACGGAGGCAGTATATATTATCCAAGTACACTGTCCAATATTACGCATGCAAGTTGATGATCTATATATATATATATCAATATATCACCATTTGGTATAGAGTGCGTTAAGAATTAGGTTACGGTTGTACGTATAGCAGCTAGTTGAGACCCGATTATTTAATACTCCATAGATCAATGTCAATATGTCATGGGGGCAGTCAAGGCATTGGATCGAACTAGGCTAGTAAAAAGAATATTTTTGAAAAAAATTGGCGCGAAAATTTTTAAATTTGGGTTAGATCAAGGTTGCCCTCCTAGCTACGCCCTTGATCAGTGGCGGATCCCTTAGGTTCAAAGGTGTTCAACTGAACACCCAAAAACTTGAAAATGAAGTGCAAAAATAAATATAAAATTGATGTAATAACTTATGGTATTTTTTAGGGGTAATTTGAGTTTGCACCTAATTTTATTGTCCAAATTAGACTTTGCATCCTGTTTTTAAAAAACTTTATATTTGCACCCCAACCCCTTATGAAAAGACAAAAATGCTCCTCAAATAGGATTATGTTGAAGGTAAACAAAATTGTTAATGGAGGGACATTTTTGACTTTTCGACGGGGCTGGGATGCAAATGCAAAGTTTTTTAAAAATGGGGTGCAAAGTCTAATTTAGACAATAAAATGGGGTACATTTCTTATTCTGAACCCTATTTTCTATTTTTTGTAGTTCAAAAAACTTACATATTTTCAATTGTTGGGTCAAATAATATTATCCAGTAACATTTTAATGTTGAAATAACTTTGAACACCCCAAAAAAAAACTTCGAACACCCCACATTTTATTGCAAGATCTGTCACTGCCCCTGATCATGAGTTGATCATGTACTTTGGCGGTATATACTCCCTCCGGTCCCAAATGAAATTCACTCTTTCATTTTTGGGTAGGTCCAAAATAAAATTCACACTTCTTCTCCCTTCCTTATTTGGTAAATTATCTACATCAAAACAGTGTCACAACAGTGTATTCTACAGTAAAGTCAAATTTATTTCCTTAATTTGTGTAAAGTCAAAGTGTGAATTTCATTTAGGACCGGAGGGAGTAGACATTCCAAATTAAAGGATGTGATCAATGATTCCTGTTTCGTGATGCGAGGTTAATTTTAATAACAACATTTTATTAATAATTACTTCCTCCGTTCCTATTTTATCTTCCAAATAGGTTTGTCACACGATTTAAGATAGTGGATATGGTGTGGTGGAGAGTTGCGCAGAGGAGAGAGAAATGTGTAAGAAATGTTGTGAACCACAAATTCTTTACTAAAAAGAGAAAGTGGAAATTTTAATTGGAACGAACGAAAAAGGAAACTTGGAAATTTTAATAGGAACGGAGGGAGTACTACGGAGAAGTAGTTTGCAATTCCGCATTCTAGCTAGTATTTGCTCGCGTTGATCGAACAAGAACAGCATTTCAGAAAACAGGTAGACTTACACTTGGAAATTGGGAGAACATAGGCCGGAGAGTACATAGTTTGTTTGGATTATAAGTTTAAGAGATTTACAAACAAACCTCACAATTCACGCTTTGATTTTATGATTTTTAAGGAAGTAGAATTTTTTATTTTGATTTTTTATCATACCCCTACAAAAAGTAGTCTTGATTATCCTACTTTTATTTTTGGGTTGTCCCACAATGAATGTGTTGCTTCTTTGTTTGGCAAGAAATATGTGATCTTTATCATTTCACTTTATTCAACTCAAATCTCAACTACAATTTTTACTTTTTAACCACTTTATTAATAATCGTGCCAAATTAAAACAGGACAACCAATACAAAACGGAGGTAGTATATAAAGTTTATTTCCCAAATAGGACTTAATTATCTAATCCTTTTAAAAGAATAAATTGATCAAATTAAAGCTTTTCCCAAAATAGGAGTGATTGAGTCTTATTTTGACAATAAAACAAAGATAGTCCTATTTATGAACTTCATCCAGTGTTCTAAAAGGCTTCATAAGGCGCCGCTAAGGCGCGCCTATGCCCCAGGCGCAGACCAAATGCCCCGCATGTACTGAAGGCGCGGTCAAAGGCTGCTCTAAGCCATTTAAAGTCCCGAAAGAATAAATTTAAGCCTTGTAGAGCCAAACTAAGCCACGTAGACCACGTTGCCTATTGTTCAAGGGTAAGAGGGGCATCACTTTATAGAGGCTGGAGGAGGAGTAATTTTCCCTTCACATCCGGTGTGGGAGAATGAAAGTATGTTACGGAGATCTCGCTTGAATCTTTAACTTGCTTAAGTTTTGAATTTCTCAGCTTTAAAATTATTAATTTAATCAATCCTTATTATTATTGTATTATCTCTATTATATATATTAACAGTATATTATCATTGTATTACTATTTTACTCTTATATTAGTATCATATGCTTATTATTGTTATTAGTATTAAAATAATTATTAGGTACTATTTATTTTTATTCATATAAATATTTTATCATTAAACTACTTTTTGAGTTCTAGTTTTTGTGTAATTGGTAAATTTATACTCCGTATTTGTTAGATTTAGGACTTGACAAATCTTTTTCGTTGAAAATGAGAAAATTATGATATTTTTAAATAACATTATTTAATATTAAATTTAAATATTTAAAATAGCTCTAGAAAAACTAAAATAAAGGATACAAAATATTAATCAAAACGCCTTTCCACGCCTAAACCCCGCCTAAACCCGTCTAGACTCCAAAGGCTTAAGGCTTGGCCGTGCCGCCTCGACACGCTTTACGCCTTTTAGAACATTGACTTCATCTGTGTTTTAATCTTATTAAGAGAATTCTCTCTTAGACTTACATGCTTAGAGTCAACTCAAGTTCATGACAAAAATAGGACTACTTTGCAAAAAAAAACATGGGACTATTACACTATACGTCCAAGACATTCAAAGAAAAGTTTAAAAACATGTACTCCCTCCGTCCCCTTTTAAATGTCTCATTTTATCATATTGGGATGTCCCTATTTAATTGTCTCATACTCCCTCCGTTCCTAAATAAACTTCCAACTTTCCTTTTTCGTTCGTTCCAATTAAAACTTCCACTTTCCTTTTTTGGTAAAGAATTTGTGGTTCACAACATTTCTTACACATTTCTCTCTCCTCTGCACAACTCTCCACCACACAATATCCACTATCTTAAACTTTGTACCAAATAAATGTGGAAGTTAAAATGGG